GGTAATAATTTCTTTTAAACTCAGTTTTCTTGGATTTTCTTAATGCGTGTATCATTATTCTTTTTAAGAAGATTAAAAATTAAATCAGAAAAACTGAAAGCAACAACAACAACAATAATAATAATCATAAAGTAACAAAAATGTCGAAGCTGAAACCTACGATTATCTGTTGCGATAGGGGCATTGGATATGACAATGATGTGAGTAAAATCCTTGGACACCTGAGCATTTCTGAGCTACATTAGATTATTTTGTACGGAACTGCACTTATCATCCGCAAAATCCTCTCCATCTAAACAGAAAGAAATGTTGCTTTCCTCGAATTTAAGCGCAGCCGTACATTTGCATCTAAGTCTTATCATTTTACAGTTGAAATAGTTAAGTGTAACCGCAAGTTCTATTTCAATAGTTTCTTCCGTTGCACTTCTTTCTTATGGAATTCTCTCCCTCTCTGTCTCTCTGTCTCTGTCTCTCTGTCTGTCTGTCTCTCTCTCTCTCTCACACACAGAGTTTCTTGTTTTCCAGTCAATTTTGATTTTCAAAAAATTATATACAGTATCAATTATCTTCTGTTTTCTTAATTTCCGTTCTTTTATTGTCCTATCTGTTTTTCATTTTCTCGCGTTGTTCCCAATAATCACTTGCATCTTAGTGACTTTGCTGCCTTGCCTGGAGTGAAATGATTGAATTAGTGATGAAAGAAATACTAGACAAAAATTGATAATAATTTGTATTGTAAGAAAATGCATGATTATGTTCATTACTCTTACTCAATGTGGATGCTGGTTTTCTTTGGGCATGGACGCCATTGGTTGTGAGAAATAAGAAACTGTCACACTAAGTCGACTTCTTATTACTTTGATTATGATGTCTCTGAACCCTACTTGTAGAACCCCTGCGATGACCGAATATATTATTCTAGCTAATGCTATACTAAACTGCACTGAGATTTGCTTATTCTTAATTAGTATTAGAAAGTAGAGCACAAAAACTCTATCTATCTATCTATCTATCTATCTATCTATCTATCTATCTATCTATCTATCTCCAAGATAGATAGATAGATAGAAAGATCTAACACCAGACCAACTCCAGGCGCATTTTTTGGAACGCAACATTATTACATCAAAGAAATCTTCCGAATTAAATAAATTATGTTTCACCAGAGGAGATGGTATTTTAGTGTGTATAAAATATTTAATATATGTGAAAAAAAAAATAATGACAATAATAAGCATAAAATATTTGATACATTTATTTTCTGATCAAATCAAGCTGTATGAAACAGCCGTGCACATGATGTCACTTGTAAGAGAGAGAGAGAGAGAGAGAGAGAGAGAGAGAGAGAGAGAGAGAGAGAGAGCCATATATGTGAATTTGAAGTGTTGCGTTACGGCTTAAAATTATTTTCTGCTATTCCCGCAACAATCTTTTCTTGTTAATGACTGAGATAAGCGAAAGTTTTCAAACAGAACATAATCTTGAACTTTCCACAGTTCACACGCAATTTTGGTTTATTCCAAAAAAAGATATAATAAAAAATTAAAGAGACCTTGTAGGTTAAGTGTAAAAAAAATACTGATTTAAATGAATACTTACAGTCTAAATATACTGGGATTTAAAATATTAATTCAGGGCGAGAATGACCCACTTATCCAGTGGTGTATTTTGAGGAAGGCATACGTTCTGGAACAGGGTTTAGTAAATATATACTTTGCCTGCAGGGCAAAGCTATGCCTCCTGAGGTTTAAGCTACAAAGTAGAGTCCTTAATAAGAAAACAGAATTATTATCAAAATGTCAGATTCATAAGTACTTCTCATGTAATTTGCCTTTTGATGGATGATTGGTCACGTGGCTATGAATTCACATAATGGCTACATACATATTTGTCCAAGACTGATGTGTGCGAATTGTATAATGTAAATAACGTACGAAAACCTCTTGTCGTGTAAAAAATTTTGACGTGATTTTACAAATGTTTTATTGTTTTAATTTTTATTGTTTTCTCAAAATTTGTTAAATATTAGCTCTGCCTACATTGGGTATTAAACACTTTTCACTTACTGTTTAATAGACCATATTCATTTTATATATATATATATATATATATATATATATATATATATATATATATATATATATATATATAAAGAACAGTCTAGTAAAAATGGATTTATCTGTAACCTTGGAAACATGAATTATGTTTTAGCTGTGTATTTAAAATCCAGTAATTTTAAAAGTTACTCCAAAATTCGCTAGAGGATGAAATGGAACTAATGTCTTTAATTTAATTACAAAATTAAATTCGGGGCTTTTTAGCTTCCATTTTTGAAACATGGTTAGAACTGTGTAGCGAAAAAATATTTTAAATGAATTAATTTATAATATATATATATATATATATATATATATATATATATATATATATATATATATATATTAGTGGTCAATATATATATATATATATATATATATATATATATATATATATATAAGCTTTAAACACTAATATTCCATGATTATAATTTATTACACTGAATCGTAATCTGATGCAATTCACCAAACCTACAATTTGTAGGTCTGATGAATAGGATCGTGATTACTATTCCAGTGTGATAAATTATAACCATGGAATATTAATGTTTGAGCATTTTATATTATATTCTTGCTTTGTCCTGTACTTTGAGCTCTAACTGATTCTATCCTCTTGCATATATATATATATATATATATATATATATATATATATATATATATTGACAACTAATATAATATATATATATATATATATATATATATATATATATATATATATATATATATATTCACAGCCGATCAGAAGTTTGGGACAACCATGAATTGTTTCTCTAAGTTCATAAAAAAGGCTAATTTTGCAAAAATAAATTCAATAAATTCACCTATTGTGTATATATTCAAAAACTTATATAAGATTCAAACAATTTTTTCTTCAAGCATTATAAATTTATTTGCTTTAAAAATTTTGTTACAACCTGATACCTTTTCTGAACTGTAGAGCAGAAATTTACAAATATTCCACTGTTTGGTAGAGGTTCAATTGCATCGAGATTAATGTGTGATTGAAATGAATTTTCAGAAACCATCAAAATGCCAAGAACTAAACAGATTAGCATTGAAAAAAGCCAAAGTGGGAATTATTTCCAGAGAAGTTTATTCCGAACGTTAGATTGCTAGAATATTACAGATATCAAAAAATTGCCTGCAGCAACATCCGGAAAGCGGCGGAAATGTCGACAGAAAAAGATCCGGGAGGCCAAGGTCTGTCACTGGATCTAACTTGTGCCACTGTGCCATGTGTCCCTGAGGAGACATGGCACAGTGGATAAAGGCGTTGGTTAGATCCAGTAACAGGACCCAAAGAGTGTGAGTTCAATATTCGGTTAAGGCAGTGGAGAACTTGTAGAAGGGAATTAACAGAAGATAATTGATAACTGACATCCATCAAACATGGCACGTGGAACTAGAACAGTCTACCCCAGTAATCGAAATAAAGGGTTCAGTTCGAAATTCCAACCACCTGAAGAAGGCCGGAGTGTACAACGGCCGAAACGTTGTGACAAATATGGCGACAAAGATGAGGACAATAGTCCGACTAATGTAAATACTGAACTGACAAAGTATTGCGCTTGGGATTTTAATTAACCTTTTCATGCATTCGTACAAGTATTTTCTTTTCAGGATATAAAGAGCGTAAAAACTGTCCAAATGTCGGTAAGGCAGGTATCGATATTACTACCGATCCCGGCTCTCTAGGCGCAATGAGGATGGTACTGCTGCGGGTAGCTGTTCCACAAGACCGGGCACCTCTCAGTATATTTTCCCCTGCTGAGCGTTGTCCGTTGACAGAGACAAAACCCCGAAGACAAAAATACAAGTAAGAGATGATATTCCATTACTTGTGCCAGGTAAGCATTAGGAATGAGTAATATATCTTTTCGCAAATATTATAATAATATAATAGAACGCAATTAAAAGCTTTATTCTAAAATATTTCCAAACAACATTACTCCCTAACGTTTACGCCAACGTTGTGATCGAATGCTGAGGTAATCTACTTTAAAAGATGAAGATTATTATTTAAGATCTGTGTAATTTAAAAAAAAAAAATCCAATTTCGAACCGGATGTGCAAAATTTTATTAAAAAATTGGAAACTTCCTGTCGGTTGAATCTAATACGATTTGTTTAAATGGACACACACACGCACGCATGAACGCATATATATATATATATATATATATATATATATATATATATATATATATATATATATATATATATATCACTTTCTGACTATGGGACCTGAATTGAATCTCATCATTGTCGATTTCAGGGGGTGACTTCTTGATGTTATCTTTCTGGGGGTAGGAGATCCCACCGTGCTTGAACTTTGGAAAGTGTCTGAAAACCATACCACAGGTTAACCCAAGCCTAAGGTCACTCAGCATAGTTGCAATATAAACCACAGGTGGGTTCTGTTGAACAAACACAAATGTGCATGATCAGGGGTCTGTAACAGGGATTGGTTAGTAGCCCTATTAATCCGGCATTCTCGGATGCAGTGGCCATATATATATATATATATATATATATATATATATATATATATATATATATATATATATATATATGTATACACACACACACACACATAGATATATATATATATATATATATATATATATATATATATCAGATCGCCTGACTATTGCATAAATGAAACAGACTGTTGCCTTTGGGTGTTGACTTCAGTGTCCATTTTTATATTTACGCTCTATCTCTGCTACTGAGCCATAAATATAGCATACCTTAAAACTATATTTCATCATATATAGATATATATTTTCAGGATAATTTTGTGGATAGACAAAAACTTCGAGCTTCATATATTAGATATATTTCTTTGGTAAAGTCTGTTTCTCAGATATGATAACCAACCAAACTTCATTAAATATACAATATGATACAAATCAAATATACCGCCAGGTTCCAATCTATTTTCGTAGCCATTAAGTGGATATTCGTATTTGTTCAAGGCTTCGTTCGAAATGGCACAATGTGTCTTCAGGATTGTAAGATGTTGATAGGGAAAGTGGACTTTCCCGCCCCCATTATCTCATCTTCTTATGAGCCAATATCGTGGAGACGCCGGAATCAACTTTATTTTGAAATTATCTCGCGTCTACGTGCCAGCTTTTCACTGTGCAACGTTGGAATTGGCGGGAAAATATCCATAGAAGCCTGATCGCACGAAACACCACTGAAAAAGAACGGCAGTCATTTACGCTTGGAGAACACTGATTCTGCAGATCTTAAGCAATTATCTCATGCTCGCCTGACGATAAAATTCACTCCTCTGAAGCATGCATGTACGCTATCTTACACACATTCAAAGGATGCGCCTGTACATCGCTGTGGCTCAAAGCAGCGAGATGTCTCTTGAGATTTCTCTTGCGTTTCGTTTTTGAAGACATTTTTGCATTTGACTTCATGACCAGTTATATTTTTTCTCCATTTTATTTCTTATTCTTTGTTTTTATCTTTCCTTTTTTCTTTTCTTTTCGTTTCAACCTTGATCATTCGTTTATTTATTTCTTTTCATTTTTCAATATTTTTGCTTTTTTTCCATTCTTTTATATTTTTCTCGCTTTTCTTCCCTTTCATGTTCTTTTCTGTATTTTATATTGTTTTCCTTTAATCATTTTTCTGTTTCAACCGGTTTATTTTATCCTTTCTTTCTTTTTTATCTTGTTATTTTCTTTCTTTCTTATTACGTAGTTTTCTTTCTTTTTTCCATAACTCGTTATCTTCTTTCTTTCTTTCTTACGTCATATCTTCTTTCTTTCTTACCTCGCTAATTTCTTTCTTTATTATCTCGTAACTTCTTTCTTTCTTTCTTTCCTCGTATCTTCTTTCTTTATTCTTTCTTTATCTAGTTATTTTTCTTTCTTTTCTTTCTTTCTTTTTCTTTCTTTCTTTCTTTCCTCGTATCTTCTTTCTTTATTCTTTCTTTCTTACCTAGTTATTTTTTTCTTTCTTTCTTTCTTTTCTTTCTTTCTTTATCTTTTTCTTTTTTCTTACTTTCTTTAGTTTTTTTTCTTTCTTTTTCTTTTTTCTTTTTTTTCTTTCTTTTTTTTTCCTTATCTTTCTTTCTTTCTTTTCTTTCTTACCTAGTTATTTTTACTTTCTTTCTTTTTTCTTTCTTTCTTTCTTTCTTTCTTTTTTTCTTTCTTTCCTTTCTTCTTTCTTTCTTCTTTCTTTCTTTCTTTTTTTCTTTCTTTCTTTCTTTTCTTTCTTTCTTTCTTTCTTTTTTCTTCGTTTTTTTCTTTCTTTCTTTCTTACCTAGTTATTTTATCTTTCTTTCTTTCTTTCTTTCTTTCTTTCTTTCTTTCTTTCTTTCCTCGTTTCTTCTTTCTTTCTTCTTTCTTTCTTACCTAGTTATTTTTACTTTCTTTCTCTTTTTCTTTCTTTCTTTCTTTCTTTCTTTCTTTCTTTCTTTCTTTCTTTCTTTCTTTCCTCGTATCTTCTTTCTTTCTTCTTTCTTTCTTACCTAGTTATTTTTACTTTCTTTCTTTCTTTCTTTCTTTCTTTCTTCGTATCTTCTTTCTTTCTTCTTTCTTTCTTACCTAGTTATTTTTTCTTTCTTTCTTTCTTTCTTTCTTTCTTTCTTTCTTTCTTTCTTTCTTTCTTCGTATCTTCTTTCTTTCTTCTTTCTTTCTTTCTTTCTTTCTTTCTTCGTATCTTCTTTCTTTCTTCTTTCTTTCTTACCTAGTTATTTTATCTTTCTTTCTTTCTTTCTTTCTTTCTTTCTTTCTTTCTTTCTTTTCTTCTTTTCTTTCTTCTTTCTTTCATACCTAGTTATTTTCTTTCTTTCTTTCTTTCTTTCTTTCTTTCTTTCTTTCTTTCTTTCTTTCTTTCTTTCTTTCTTCGTATCTTCTTTCTTTCTTCTTTCTTTCTTACCTAGTTATTTTTACTTTCTTTCTTTCTTTCTTTCTTTCTTCTTTCTTTCTTACCTAGTTATTTTTACTTTCTTTCTTTCTTTCTTTCTTTCTTTTTCGTATCTTCTTTCTTTCTTCTTTCTTTCTTACCTAGTTATTTTTTTACTTTCTTTCTTTCTTTCTTTCCTTCGTATCTTTCTTTTTTCTTTCTTTCTTTTATTTTTTTCTTTCTTTCTTTCTTTCTTTCTTTCCTCTCTTCTTTTTCTTTCTTTCTTACCTAGTTATTTTTTCTTTCTTTCTTTCTTTCTTTCTTTCTCTTTCTTTTTTTTCTTTCTTTCTTTCTTTTCTTTCTTTCCTTCTTTCTTTTTTTCTTTCTTACCTTTATTTCTCTTTCTTTCTTTTTTCTTTCTTTCTTTCTTTCCTCGTATCTTCTTTCTTTCTTCTTTCTTTATTACCAAGTTATTCTTTCTTTTTTCTTTCTTTCTTTCTTTCTTTCTTTCTTTCTTTTTCTTTCTTTTCTTTCTTCTTTGTTTCTTATTTCTTTATTTTTTCTTTCTTTCTTTCTTTTTTTCTTTTCTTTTCTTTTTCTTTTTTTTCTTTTTCTTTTTTATTACCTAGTTATTTTCTTTTCTTCGTTCTTTCTTTCTTTCTTTCTTTCTTTCCTCGTATTTTCTTTCTTTCTTCTTTCTTTTTTATCTAGTTATTCTTTCTTTCTTTCTTTCTTTCTTTCTTTCTTTCTTTCTTTCTTCGTATCTTCTTTCTTTCTTCTTTCTTTATTACCTAGTTATTTTCTCTTTCTTTCTTTCTTTCTTTCTTTCTTTCTTTCTTTCTTTCTTTCCTTGTATCTTCTTTCTTTCTTCTTTCTTTCTTACCTAGTTATTTTCTCTTTCTTTCTTTCTTTCTTTCTTTCTTTCTTTCTTTTCCAGATTCTTCCTTTCATGTCAACTACAATCTACAGAAATTTCAATGCAACGTCAAACATCATCTTTGTCTCTTTGAAACATGTTTTGTTTTTATCTTTCCGTTTCCATGGTAACGTTTTCTCAGTTTCCTTTACTCTACTGTCTTTTCTCCTAAGACTCTTTTTGCGTCTCAGTGACTTTATTGCCTTATTTGGGTTGAAATGATTAAAAAATGGAGTCACAAAAGAGAAAAAGTGCTGGAAAATAGCAAAATGAAATTCCTTGCTATATTCCGATAGAGACCGTAATAACTTTATTTTTCTTCTTCTATGTGCCGTGTCCCTGCAGGACATGGGTGACTATGGCTCTTCACAATTCTTTGTCTTTGTTGTTCTTAGTAAGATTTGTCATTTCGCTATATCTCCTAATCCCTGTATTGCCAAATATTTATACAGACTTCCTAAGTAGTTTATGCTTTGCTTTCTACTTTTCTTCTTCCTTTCTATAAGTTTTGTCAGTATCAAATTTTCTAAGCCTTCTTTCCTCATTATGTACACTAGAAATTTCAAATGTTACCTCAAGTCTTTTCTTCATCTGTGATAGGATTGTCCAACATTTCCTTTGATATAGCAGTTAAGTAATCTTTTCTTTGTTTTTAAATAATTTTCCTATTTCTTAATACTTTACTTAGCTTTTAGAAAGGAATCTTTCATTCTCCCAAAACACCTTCGGGTATAGTTTCCGCTGTCTTTTAAAACATTTCCTAGATATTTAAATATTTTTACTTGCTTAATTTTGGCATCTCCAATTTTTATTTCGCATGTTGGGCTCTTCTTGGTGAAAATCATACATTCTATTTTCTTACAATTGGGTTTTAGTCCATTCTTCTCGCTTTCTTTTGCTACCTTCTGTAAGCGTGCCTGTACTTTACTTAACGGGCCTGTTTAATATTTTCCTTTAAACGTCTTTTACCTGATATCAGATGTTAATTAAAAATTTTCGTAGAAATTTATTGAGCATATTAGATTAAGAAAGTTTTTTTTTAAATATACAAATTGTGATCGATAACATTTTTTTTTATCTCAGTTGTCTTGGATTTCATTAATGCGCGCATTACTATTCTTTTTAAGAAGATTAAAAAGCAAATCAGAAAAAAATGTTAAAAGTTAAAACTACGATTATCTCTGTTGAGATAAGGGCATTGGATATGATAAAGAATGGTAATGAAAATCATGTGAGTAAAATCCGTGGACACCTCAGCATTTCTGAGCTACATCAGATCATCTTGTACGGAACTGCACTTATCATCCGCAAAAAATCTGTCCATCTAAACGAAACACACCAGATGTTCATAGATAACTCTCCTAAAGTGTCTTTTTTACTCTCAGACACCGGTGGGGACTTGGTAATTTGGTACTTAAAATTACTCTCTGACAAGATAATGACACAAATAATAATAATAATAATAATAACAAGAAACTCTTCCAACAACGAAGAGACACCTGGTCACCAAACCCGGACTATTTCCAACCTTGAACCAAGTCCCTCAATGCCAAATCAACTAATAAAAAGAAAGCGAATGAAATGTTCTCGCGAAGAGTATCAACAAGTCATGACATCATTTTTCGCGGCGCTCGAAAATCCTCAAAAGAACAACACAGATCAAACATACGCAAATATATAGAGAACTATTGTAGGAAGTGGAATAAGATCCCATTTCAACCCAAACATGTTTGCCAACGTCCGCAGGGACATCATGCGAAACAAAAAAAAAAACTCTCAAGTGTAGAAATAGATCAGATGAAAGTAGATATAAGACAGAAAACAATAACCCATCACTCAAACAATAAAGAAATAAGAGCAGAAATAAATAAAATTACAGAGGATAAGGTAAAAACTAAAATAAACGTTAGGATAGAATTCCTTGAAAACAGCAGAGGTGAAATAACCGAGGCGAAAAACCACATCATCCAAGTATTCAACAGAGTAACGCATACACAAATGTCAGATAGAGACCATCTCCAAAAAATTCATATGGCAAAGTACAATAAGCACATTGTGTAAATATACAATGATGCACTGCTTACACTGTTCACGGACAAACCACTGAGAAGCATCACAGACGTAAATAATGTCATATGCGCAACATCTTTAACAGCTTCTGGGAAGCTTGGTGTTAAGAAAATGAAAAGATCAAACAACAGGCAAAGAGAGCCAGCTTGGAAGGCAAAATTGATGCGAGAAATAAAGGAAATCAGATATAAGTCATCGGTACTAGAAAACCCAAATCTCAAGAAACCCAAATGTCTCAACACGCAAATGTAGGGAGATGAAGCGGAAATAAAATTAAATTCCAATAAGTAAGGAAATGCTAAAACCGAAACTGCAGTTAAAGGCAGAGAGAATAAGACGAAAACTATTGTAGGTTCTGTCGCCAAAATAAAGCATTTCAAACGGACCTTAAGAAATTTTACAGATGTTATGATGAAACCCACCTATTCTATAGTTAATAGACTCTCCCACCTATAATACGTAGGAGTAGTAAGAGTCTGTGAGTCAGTGAGTCAGTCGATGGCGGACGACAGTTAGTCGAATACGAAAGTATCAGCGACCACAACTAGATTACTCTGCGTAATACCTATTATATCAAGTTCCTAACGTTTTGTACGTCGAACCTATTTTAGGACCGATTTAGTACAAATACAAGCCTCCACTGCGAAATTACTCCACAACAACAGAGAAATTGGGAAAGCAGTCATATATGTCAAAAAGCCGCCATCTATTGAATAAGTGCAGAAATTTTGGGAGAATATTTGAATTGTCACGAAGGGATATAATCCTAGTGTAGAATGGATCCAACGAGAAGAACGAATGTTGGATAAACCTCTACAAGAATGGGAAAATGTAACCAATAATAATGATAGGCAAGCTCTAAGGAAACCCCCAAAATGGTAATCCGCATGAAATGACAAGGTACCCAATTTTTGGCTCTATCATCTGTTATCAATTCATAAAAACCCTTGCACAAACTCTATCATAGATTAGGGGATTCGAACGAGAAGAAGCCTATAAGCACCTAGGAACTAGCGTAGAAGATGGAATACAGCATATCTATATAAAGGAGAAGGTAAGAAATGAATACTACTATCGAGCTGAATTAAAAAAAAAAATACTGAATATTAGTCATAAACACCTTGGCTGTATTTGTGATGCAATACTGTTTCTACATCCTTAACTTGACCGTAGCTGATATTAGGCGAATGGACACCAAAATGAGAAAGCTTCTCACTTGCCACCGCATGCATCATCCGAAGTCTGATGTTAATTGTGCGTATGTGCCCAGATCCGAAGGAGGCAGAGGATTAGTTCAACTAGAACTACCTTACAAATCTACAACAATCGGCCTTCAAAGATATCTGGAAACTATAGAAGACTTGCTGATAACCTGTGTCAAAGAACATGAAAGAAATAAGAAACTTTATTCAGTGATAAGAGAAGCCAACAAGTTCAAAATGGAGCCTCAAATGTTTAATGAAATGCAAGTAAAGCAGAATATACCGACTGCAGCTTCAAAATACGTAAAAAAGGAAGCGAAGATAAATGCATCCAACCAGATATAGTAACAATGCCAAAGATAACCCGCTTTACGGTCAGTACTCTACCCGAATCAAACAAGATAAAGTAGACAAATCACGTATTTATCAGTGGCCATGTAGTGCAGGTTAAAGGCTGAAATCGAAGGTTTTATCCTTGCTGCACAAGACCAATGCTTGATAACTAGAAATTACCAAGGAAACATACAGAAAAATGGTTTTGACCCTAAATTCAGATTCTGTGATAAATTTCCAGAAACAATTGACCATCTTGTATCAGGTTGCAGAATGTTAGCACCCACTGAATATAAAACTCGGCATGACAGAGTGATCAAGTATCTGCACTGGATAATATGCAACGGTTACGGGAAGAATACTGCAAGAAACTGGTATGAACATCACCCAGACCCGGTTACAGAGATAGGACCTGTGACGATTTTATGGGAAGTTACAATACACACAGACAAGGAACAAAGCTAATCGCCCAGACGTCGTGATCAATAATCACAAAAACAGAATGTGTTTTCTTATTGACATAGCAGTTCCTGTAGATTGTAATGTATGTTTGAAGATCTTCAAAAATGCAAGGATCTTTAAGTGGAAATCTAAAAAATTTGGCAACTGAGGACATCAATAATTCAAATTGTGGTTGTAGCCCTCGGATTGATCGGGGTTCATGGTAGCCAATGCGTAAAAGAAATACATAAAATTTGTACTCACACGTACACCTCACACATTACGAAGAGTTTTGTCTATGTAAAATGTATGTGATCGTTTTTTTTTATTTATTAAATGATCTGTGAAAAATGTTATGAAGCCATTTTTAACCTTAGGTCTCAGGCTGCACCCGGAAGGAAACAACAGAAACCAAAGGAAATATTATTACTACTACTACTAATAATAATGAGAAAACTCAGCGAGATTTAATGATTTTGCTCAGAGAAATACGCTGACCGGAAAGAGAACAAAAAGTTATTTGAAAAAGTATGTACATGTGTGTTTATACTTCTGAGTTTATTTGTATCATTATTACCGTTTTTGTTTATCACTCTCTCTTTCTAATCGTATCCTATCCTATCCTATCCTATCCTATCTATCTATCTATCTATCTATCTATCTATGTATCTCACTCTATGTCATTATATCCACTAGTCTTTGTGTAAGCCAGCCTGTGTGAAATCATGCGTCCGTATATCGTATTACTACGTATATGATAAAAAAAATTAAGGGAAAAAAATACAATATTGAATCCTTTCAATTGTTGTTGACATTACGGCATAGAACGAATTGTTGCGCCTTTCTGGAAAAGCTCGCCGGATCAGATGAACAAACTCGAGTCGAGTTCGGTCGTATTAAAAAACAAACAAAACAGGTGACGTATCAACAAGGAAAAACAAGACGCTTTTGTTTATTTATCGCCCACTTTTCTCCAAATCAGGTCTCCTCTTTTCTTGATGTTCGGAAAATGGCTGAAAGTAACGCCGATACAACTCCTTCAGGATTTCATATGTCTGATTGCAGGAAACTGTTTAAGGGCAGAGGTGATGAGGGGAGATCGAACTCCCCAAATACTAATGGTTTGTTAAACAACGTCGCTAACGCTACCTCCATAAAGATGACGGATTTATTATTATTTTTTAAATCTCACAAAAAATCCAAACGCTATAATCGAAATAACACTGAGGGATGAGAGATTGCAGACATTTCTTTCATGCTAAAATTCACCCAATATAAGACTGAAGAGCCACTCAAGGTAGAGAGTTGAAATGATGATGGCGAATGAGATATGTGATATAAAGTGTGTTCCAATAACTTGGACCGATTTTAAATGTGAATTAAGTTTAAGCGTCTAATGATTTTTTTTCTTTTTCTTTCAGATTTTGGCAATTTCAACTACGGAAAGATTAACAATTAAACAACGTGTTAAAGTTATCGAAGCCTATTACGAAAATGGACGTTCAAACAGAAATGCATTTCGCGATTTTTTGGTCAGCATAATCGACCAACCGAGAGTGCAATTTGAAACGATGTAATGTTGTTGTGGAGAGATTCAATTCCTGTGCGCGATCACGAATAGAGGTGTCTGGATTTTCGGCCACATTCTCGTGCACGGCAGCTGAACGGCGTAAAGGAGCACACAATGGTATTTTCACATCGGCCACCGACTTAGCTTGTTTGAATTTACGAACAATTTTTCCACTTTTTGCACTTTTGAATCTTTAACACGTTGTTTGATTGTTAATCTTTCCATGGTTGAAATTGACAAAAACTCAAGTTGTTAAATCTGAAAGAAAAAGAAAAAAAATCATTAGAGAGTTAAACTCAATTCACATTTAGAAAAGGTCCAAGTTATTGGAACACTGTTTATAAATGAAAGAGGAGCTGGTAAAGAATGAAGATTTGCCTGTTGTGTTTATGGGGGAACCTTGAAAGGCGCCAGTATGTCCAGAACCATCAGTTCTAGTCCTTCTGTTCCAGGAGGAAAACTGCCTACTGTTATGGTGTGGACCATAAAAGATAACTCGGACTCGGATATAAGGGTTAATAATATATTCTCGGTAAAAGAAGTACAACAGTAGTTAACATTTGTGTCAGTCAGCTGTTGGCTCTCACGTTGGCCAATAGAATCTTCCTGCCTATTCATGGCAGCCAGCTATAGGCTCTCACTCTGGCCAGTACAAAATGGCCGCAAACTACATGAAAACTGCCGTAGAAGCATGAAAAAAATCGATTATTTCCACTATCGATGGAAGTTGGGAAATGCAAAGTCGGTCTTGGCCTTCCCGCTAACTTGGAGTATGTGCATGTAAATTTTGGTGCAAATCCGTCGAAAATTGCGGCCGTGCATTCGTTACACACACACACACACACACACACACACACACACACACACACACACACACACACACACACACACACACACACACACACATCCTGCCTTTTATAGATAGAGATAAATTATCAACTGTCTGTTTCTGATTATTAGTAAAAATTGTCCTTTCTGTTCGTATTGCCTTTACAACTTCATAATTGCTCACATGTTCCTTTTATGGTATTGTTTTAATATATTTCTGTAGAACTATATATAAGTTGCCTCAGGTATTTTCTTCATCTGTGAGGGGACTTGTCTACTGGCATATAGGAGAACTGATATTACATAAAGGTCAGCGCGCTTTTCTTTGTATCTAACGATTTTTTTTCGTAATACTTTGCTTGACTTTTGAAAGGCATTTTTACTATTTCAACTTATCACATTTTCCATTATAGCAGTTTCCAGTTAAACTTCTGTATTTGCTTTATTCTGACGTCTTCAAGTCGAAGTTCGCATCTTTCGCAGTCGATTTTGCTAACGACCCGAGTTTATTAATATGGGATCTGAATTATGTTGTCATGCGCCATATTACGGAACCTGTACATTGATATGTGCATTTGATTATTTACTGTGATTCATCGATATCACGTGTGTGTTTAATATTGAATAAATTGAACGACACGTTCAGGTGTTGCATTTTTATTTTCCGTAAGTATATTTCTTAAACTTAGTTTCATTTCGTAGCAACGCAGCAGACGCAGATCAAACTTAAACGACCCAATCATTTATAATCATTTTATGGCAAGGGGCTTACGACCCCACAAAGGGATCTACGTAGAGTAGATTTTTATCCCTTGTCTCCTTTTTAGAACTCTGAAATATTATTCAATATTTTTCTCTCCTCCACCAATAGGTGTAGATGGGTTCTCCTATCGTCCGGTTCACACTCCTCCCCAGTCTTCCGGACAAGAGTAGAGTTCATCACTTAGTTCCTGTTTAGGATTGGGTTTCTGGTTCCTTCTAATGTATACTTTAACTTTATACTCCCAATGCTTGCCCTGTTTTACGCTAATTCAACTGCACACGATAACCCTCTATCTTGAGTGGCTCTTGGGCCTTGTATTGGGTGAACATTCGTAAAGAAATGCATTTGACGGCAGAGAACTTATCCAACGTCTCCCCCCCCCCCGCCAACAATTATGTGGTTTCAGTGTATGTTAGCTAAAAGTACCCGGCCATAGATTTCCCTAGACAATATAATAAACTCTACATGATGACCACCGTGTCAGCTCGACGGGCTCATTTTCATTGCGTCTCTATAAACCATTGGGAGTGAAACAGAAAGGCAGAAGGAAAAGGTTCAATGCTGAAAGCAAACACGGATTGAAGAAACAAACAAATAAATAAAAAAGCGAAAAATAAACAAAGAATCGCAGCGAAACAACCACAGATGTGGGTCGAGAGGTTGAAAGATTTACGTCCACACCTACTTGGCTGAGATTTTACACCAGTTGAAATACCAAGCTTCTTTCTTTCTTTCTTTCTTTCTTTCTTTCTTTCTTTTGTCAAATCAAATTCATTTTGCAGGTTTCCTCCCTTTAATTATTTTTCTTTCTAATGTACAAACATCATTTTATTCGTTTCTTTGTTTCTTTGTTTATTTTAACAAACAACTTTTCTTTCTTTTAATCAAATTTCTTTTAATCTATCTATCTATCTATCTATCTATCTATCTATCTATCTATCTCACGCTGTTCTTATCTCTCAGTCTGTTCATATCAACTTTTTTATCTATCTATCTATCTATCTATCTATCTATCTATCTATCTATCTATCTATCTATCTATCTATCTATCTCACTCTGTTCATATCTCTCTCAGTCTGTTCGTATCTATCTATCTATCTATCAATATATCTTACTCTGTTCAAATATCACCCAGTCTGTTCATTTCTATCTATCTATCTATCTATCTATCTATCTATCTATCTATCTATCTATCTATCTATCTATCTCATCTCACCCTGTTCTTATCTCTCAGTCTGCTCATATCAATTTTTTTATCTATCTATCTATCTATCTATCTATCTATCTATCTATCTATCTATCTATCTATGTTCATGTCTCTCTCAGTCTGTTCATATCTATCAATCAATATATCTTACTCTGTTCAAATATCACTCAGTCTATTCCTTTCTATCTATCTATCTATCTATCTATCTATCTATCTGTTTGTCTGTCTTATCTATCTGTTGTCAAAGCTTTCTTTCTTTCATTTTTTACTTCTTTTCTCCTTTATCTTTATTTCCCTGTCTGTTTACATCCCTGTGAATCCTTTTTAGAATCTATGTTTTGCGTCGTATTCTTTGAATGTAACCAAATCAGACCGACCAGAAATAGAGAATTGTTGCCATATCTAGGTTGGTGCTATCCAGTTATCATTATCCAACCTTGACAGAGTTCAAAAGCGAATACGCAACCTTGTGGGTGATGAATTATTTTCCATCCTGCGACGACCCACAGATGATACGTAGCTCACTTCTCACTACTCTGTCACTATTAATATGGTTAATATTCAAAAGAGCTACATTTCTTATTTCCACCAGTTCCGACTTTCACAGCTTGAACCCGTCTTTGGTAAAGAGTAAGTGTTAGTCGAACGGCTTTTTCCCCAAGAAATATTCAAGAGACTCCAGAGGGGTTGTTTCCTTGACCACTACAATCTTAACCAACTCTAAAGTCATCCAATATCTAACCTACATATCCTTATATGTACTTCCTCCTCCTCCTCCTCCTCCTCCTTACACCCTTTAAACAAATTTCATTCAGTAAGCTTCTGCGTTGCGTGGCTCTTATATTGGTTGAAGTAAATAAAGAATCTGTTCTACTCGGAAGAAATATAGTAAAGCTCTCGCTATGAGATTTAGTTTGTCAAGCAAATGAAAGAAAATAATTAAAGAAAAATGGCCTTTTTTTTGTAAAGATTTAAAAAAAAAATATTTAAAAGGTTTTAACGATTTTAACGGTATTAAAGAGTTTAACTATTTTAACGGTTTTAAAATATTTAACGGTTTAAAAGATTTTGAAGATTTTAAACCGTTTAAGAATTTTAAAGATTTTTAAGTTTTTTCTTAAAAGATTTTAAAAAGAAATTTTAATATTTTGAGTTTACTAATTTACGGTTTGATTTTAATCAAACTGATTGTTTACTTATCAGTTTTTATAAATGAAATGTATGCTTGAATTCCGCAAATATAACCTCAAGTTTTACTTTAATTCAATTCTTATAATTGTATAACGAAGTGAAAAAGAAGTTTCTCACTTACAATACTTAGGAGATTATTGTAATGTGTTACCTTGATTTTGACCTCACTTTTTTTTCCCTCGACAGCTTTGGTACATACTCTATCAGTAAATAAGAAATCTCTCGACGCGAAAAGAACACCACATCTGTTTTTGTTTAATACCGATTTCTGTAAAGCACGACACACACTTTTTCCCCGATCTGATTTGTTTAATGATGAATATAGACCAGCGCTGTATCTAGGCAAATGGGCTACATGCCACGGGTGATATAGGAAGGGAAGCCATATTGGCCACTATCCGATTGAACACTGAACAAATAATCTGTCGTGTAATATTCATTAATAATACATTAAAAGATCTAATTAAAACACGGCTCTAGACCCTCTGTGTCGCCTACATTGTAGCGAAACACCTTCATTCCCTTCGTATTTCTTTAGTGAGATGTAAGTTCGACTCCAGCATCTTCTTTCCACGAACTATCTTGTGGAATCAACTTCCAAGCGGGTGCTGCTCCGGTCACTACAAACTTAACCTGTTCAAGTCGAGAGTTAACAGTTATTTTTCACAAATATCCGTATGAGATGTGACTCTTATTCTGTAAGCCTCTACCTCGAATGGCTCCCGGGCCTTGTACAGGATGAAAATCATTGTCAAAAAACAAAAATTAAGCAATAAATCATATGCCAGCATTTTAGATATAGAAGGCTGATGTCAAATCGAGTCAGTATCAAATGATCCAGACCTGATAGCTTCTAGAACGTATTGTCGGATGAGAGTGTATTTCCAAATGTTATACCCTGTTAACCCAATCCCATAGACGATACGATGCTCACCTCACACTCATTTCTATTACTATGGCAGATGTTCGAACGAACGACATTCCTTAGAACCTCCAGTTCAGACCTTTACATCTTGGACCCGCTATGCCAAGTTAACGATGTCAAATCATCTCCATTCTTTTTGTATTCCTTCAGTAGAGAGTACATTCTACTCGCGCAGTTTCTTCCCCAGATCTGCCGAGAAGATCCTTCGTTGATTCATACAATCTCAAACTCTTCAGGTCTAAGGTCCCATTGTTAAACATGAATGGGAGAGTTAAATATACATGGCCTCCCATATATATATATATATATATATATATATATATATATATATATATATATATATATATATAAATAATAAAATATTTCATACATGAAAATGGCTAAATTTCTTTTTTCTCGAAACGAATGCACTCGGAATTAAAAGAACATCGACGAGTTTTTACATAATTTGTCATCGGAAAAAATAATTATTAGATATTGCATAAGAAACTAAATCAAACCACCTTTTCTATCGTATTCAATGAAATGTGCATGAAAGAAGGATTGCTGCCTAAATACACAAGTATATATATATATATATCTATACATACATACATACATACATATATATATATATATATATATATATATATATATATATATATATATATATATATATATATATTAATATATATATATATTAATAAATATACATAATACTCCATTTCGACAGTACGGGCTTTCACGCATTGCGCATGTAAGGATATATATATATATATATATATATATGTATGTATGTGTGTGTGTAAACCCTTGCATGTACATTTATTTATATTTATTTATTTGGCTATATCTATGTATATCTCTTTCTCTCTCCCTATACATACATACATACATACATATATATATATATATATATATATATATATATATATATATATATATATATATATATATATATAATTTAAAAAAAGGTCTCAATACAGAGTAAAGCTTTATATTATTTATTATAGGAGCTTAATGTTAAAAATTAGCTGTGCCTTTTTAGGCGATGGTATATATATATATATATATATATATATATCAGTGTGGTCACAGGAATCAACACTGAATCGGGACTGTTTCCTGCTTTGATATGATCTTCAGATTTATCACCATGTAGTGTCAAATTTCTATGTCTACATTCTCTCTCTCACCACTCCCACCCTCTCTCTCACCACTCCCACCCTCTCTCTCACCACTCCCACCCTCTCTCTCACCACTCCCACCCGCTCTCTCACCACTCACACCCTCACACGCACACACACACACACGTGCACACACATACACACGCGCCTGCGCACACACACACACTTTTTCTATATCACACATTTTTCACGTACAATCGTTTGAGTCTAACCAATTCTATCATGGATGATAATGGCGAGAAAAATCTCCGATTAAATCATTGCTTCTTTATTGCCAATTCAGAGGACACTTTTTTATTTTATTTTTATTATTTGGTTATCGTGTTAAAAAAAAAAAAAGAAGCTATTTATGTAAATCCCTCTCTTGGATTAAACGACTCCTTTTCAAAGAAATATTCATCTCATTTCACATATGGATCGCTTTAAAGGAAATAAAACAAAAGAGAAAGAAAGAAAGAAAGACAAAAGGTAAGTCAACGCGATGATCATTTTCAATGGAACTGGTATTAAACTTAGATTACCAAAATATTATTTGAAACGTTCCAGATTGTGGGAAGATCTTTCAAAACTCAAAAAGACAGCAGCAGTTGACGAACATGTGTCCTTATTCAGTTGAAGAATGTTAACCACGTGTAAGAGGAGACCAAGGAATCGCGGTGAAACCCGGTTTAAATAAACAGGGGTGTGGTTCGCGCATGCCTCCGTCTGGGGTAGACCTGGTTGTCAACGCATGTACACGTAAACAGACTGGGGACGAGTCGGGCGGATAATATGTGCGCCTGTAGGTGGTGTTGTTCAATAACACGCACGCACGTTCATAGACATACACATATAAGTTTACAAGCGGTGATATAAAGTGATCAATCATACATTTATATATATGGATGCATGCACACTCATATATATATACACACACATTCACAAACACAACATACAAACGCAACACACAAACACAGACACACACACACACACACACACACACATATATATATATATATATATATATATATATATATATATATATATATATATATATATATATATATATATATTACATGAATCATTCATACAAAAAACAAGTAAAAACAAGAACAAATCTATTTCCATACCTGAGGATGTCTGTAGGAACAGACAAAAGCTTGTAAAAAATTAAAAAGATCTTATGCAACTTGAATTTATAAACAGGGATCATATCTTTCATATACAGGTTCGGGTTTAGTGTATCTTATTGAAATTGTTTGCGAAGATGTATTCTCGCCATTTAAATCATTAACCTCTATATTTGTTTTTTGTATGAATGATTCATGTAATTATAAATTAAAATTGCAACTAGAATTGAAATATATATATATATATATATATATATATATATATATATATATATCCACAGACACAGAGTGGCATATACCGTAAATATTCGATTTAGCGCTTTCTCTCGAATAAGGGCTCCTCTTGAATTGGCGACTCCTTATCCGAAGGAATTTAAAATAAGTGTCCCTCACGAATAAGTGCCTAACAACAAGTGCACCAATATATTTGAGGAACAAATTGTTCAATAACACGCACGCACTCCTTTTCAAAGAAAAGCTATTTATGTAAATCCCTCTCTTGGATTAAACGACTCCTTTTCAAAGAAATATTCATCTCATTTCACATATGGATCGCTTTAAAGGAAATAAAACAAAAGAGAAAGACAGAAAGACAAAAGGTAAGTAAAGGAGACATTTATTTAAATCTGGGAATTTAAATGCATTGTCAATCGTTATCTGTCTATATTTCTGAGATGAGGTATTGTAATTATTTATACTATTTACATTGTTCGGACTGCTGTCCTCATCTTTGTTGCTATATTCTCGACGTTTCGGCCGTTGTACGCTCTGGTTTTCATCAGATGTTTGGAATTTCGAACTGAATCATTTCAGTCACTTCTTTAGCCATTTTCAAGTGAGGGGGGGTCTTTTGGTGCTGTTACTTTTTCTTCGTCTTTTGACTATTTGAGAACGTACATGGCCCAGTGGATAAAAGCGTTGGCTGAATCCAGCGACT